ATTATTTTTAATTTCGAACAACAGTTTTTGTGAGATACAGATTAAAAACTGGTCAATTATAGATTACGGTTAAACGACCACTTAACCATAATCTATAATTAACTTGCAGTTTTTAATTGTTATATCTCCTAAAAATTGCTCAAAATAAAAAATGGCAAAATACTTCTGTCACTTATTTTTTTTTCAAGAATTCGCTGTGGTATTTTGCTGCACGAATTTCGAAACATTCTGTATATATAATTAACAAAGCAAAATTTTCAATTTCTTCTCGATCATCAAGTTAGGTCTTGATATTTCTCTCCTTTCATCATTTTATTTCATTTCAATGGACACAAAAAAAATTTCTGTGTAATGTGTATTTCTCAAAACTCTTACTTCTCTGAGAGCCTGCTTTATATCCTTTTCTCGAAAGTAATCTATACGAGGGCTGGTTTCCAGCTGTGACAAATCTGTCAAAGCCTCTAATGAGGAGTCCCTTGTATCCACCAGACGTATGCTTTTGATAATCTTATATTGCTTCAAAAGAATCGCGGTGTAAAGAGGTGTCACTCCCCCACCGATGATGCATACTCTGATGTTAGCCTCATTATCTTTTTGCATATTTTTATCTTTTTCTTTCCTCGTCAATTTTTTCGCACTCTTCTCCTTGATCCTCTGGACTTTTCTATAGTCAGTCGGAAGGTTTTTCGAAAATTTACGATGCAAAAAAATAGGATGATGTCTATATCGCCGTGATAAATCGAGAAACAATCTCGATAGCGCGATCATAATTAAATGATTTTTAACGTTTTTATGGTTATGGAAAGAGGAGTACGATTTATAAGTACATTTTTTTTTCAAGATTTTGTAGAATGAAAACAAGAAATTATTGTCAGAAGTGGTCGTGCGAATCACGCTGGATTTATGCGAGACAAACAAGTGATTTGCGATACGTGAAATATGCATATGAAGCTTGTACATACATGAAGAAACAGATTGATATCCCTGCAACTTAATTAAAGCGAGTAATAAAAGTGAGAGATGCGTTTTTTTTATTAATATAAAAAAATACTTTATTCTTATATGACAAAAATATATATCTATGAACATATATCATACTGCACCATGTTATAAATACACATTTTTTAAACATTTTTTAAACATTTTGTCATGTAAACATTCTTGCAACAATCTGCAATGTAACTATTCATTTAGATTCGTATTACGCACAAAAGATTAGAGAGAATAGAAATAAACAGATTTCAACTTACTAGGAATCGGTTACATCGGAATATATAATTTCTAGTAGATTGAAATCGGTTATTCCCTATTCCGTTTCCTTATTCCTTTAATTGTACGCAGCCCCTTATAATTTCTTATACAAAAATTCTACGTTTGACACGAGCAGATCGATTGTCGATGGATAACGTAAATTTGAAAAAATAAAATACTGGGTATCGTGTTATAAATACAACCATTTAAAAACATCGGAAACACTTTCGCAACACGTAACTTTCGATAATTATCCATTTTATACAAAATTTTAGGTAATATTTTTAAGCAATTGATTCTAACAAAAAATCGATTACCATTGACGGACGCGGAAGTTTCAAAAATCTGTTAGATTTAGATATCCTTGTGCGATTCAAGTAGATAGATACACGTCACGTTTGTATAACATAAATATTGGTTACAATCTAACCGAATTAGAGATTCGTTTAATTTCTAATACATTTATTGTTGTCGAGATTTCGTAAATAAAAAGTTGTCAACTCATTTGTCTGTAACAAGGATTGTACAAGTAAATATTGTCCTAATTTCTGATTAATATTCTTCCAAAATTACGTTGCATAAATATGTAACGAATTAGAGATTTTATAATAGAGTCTGGATACGAGCGATTTTTCAAAAGCCTATGAGAAAAAGGCACATATGTGTATATTTTTTTTCTGCATATATTATCTGACTCTAACTTATATCATCTCACTCTATAATAAAAGTTAGTAAAACAGTAGAATGAGATTCTGTTATAAGATCTCTAGTAACGATAGTATAACTTGCAATACAAATTTTATTACACTCTGTCCTGTCTGTCTTTTTACGTTCTGTCTATATTTGAATATATACACACAAAAGAAAATCTTGTCACTTCAACGATGGCGATCCAGATTGAATGATAATATCAGACATGTCTGGTACCGAACAAATCTTCAATTCTTTCTCATTCGCCAAATGCAGCATAGATATAAAAGAGATCGGTACGCTCAATGCCTCAGCGTTGCTTTTCGTCAGCAATTTCGGCAGTGCCTTGTAAACGTCACTGAATTGCTTGCTCTCCTTCATCGTATCGGTCACGTCTACTGTTTGTCCAGTATTTGTCTCATTATTATTTGTGGACTTCAAACAGGTCCATATGGATTTCTTTAGTTGTCGCATATCGATTTTCTTCGCTTTCAAACAATACGCGATGGATATTTTATTAATTAACTTTGGCGCGGCAACTAAATTGTCGCCAGTAAGACCCTGATTATCCATTACGGCGCTATCATCAAAGTTACCATCCTCTCTCCCATAATCATCATAATCTTCATTGTGTTCAACATTGGGACAGTATTCCAGCGTGTCGTTTGGATTGTTATAGTCGTATCTCTCGCCATCAGATACGTCAGCGACATTAACCGCATTCTCTTTCTCACTACTTTCCTTTATAGTTAATTTCTTGTACATATAGAGCTTGCTGCCTTGCGTAATATCGTAATGCACATCCTCCGGTAGAGTCAAATTTTCAGCGCTCCATTCCGCTTTCGCGGTTTTGGCATGTAATTTAACAGTATGGCTCTTTGACGCGAACTTTGCGTCTATGATATCGCGTGCCTCGTCATATAGCAGTTGAAATTGTTTTCTCTTTTCTTTTGTCTTAGCTTGCATGCAAGCTACTTTTGCACCTCTGTCGACAGCGGGAGATTTCATGAAATTCCAAAACTTCCAATGGGACGGGCCAGCCCAATGCAAGTTCATGTTTGGTTGAATAAAGGAGTACTCAGATGCCCGGACGTTGTGCACTTCTACGACATTCACTGGACGATCCATCGTTTGTCGAAAACATGCTTGAACATTCTCGTTGTCATCATGTTCGATGTCGAAGTAGTTCATGGGCTCGGGCACCGGATCGTTATCATGCTCCACGCTTGCATCCAAATCAAATTGAAATCTGTTCTCACTGTCATCAGGAGATTCGATTTCCTCTTCCGGTTCGTCCTCTACGGACCAACCGAGAAACTCAAAGTTTGAATATGATGTACAAATCTCCAAATTTGAGAAATCTTCAATCGCTGGTATGACATACTTTACGTTTGAATTATTTTGCGATTCAGGTTTATTCTCTAAGACATCGACGAGCACGTCGTTATATTGATGCAGATAAAAACCGGAATTCGCGTGGTTCGGCAACATCGCTTGGTACAACATATCGCTGGTTTGTAGATCTCCTTCGCCTATCATCGTCGACATAGGTTTTGCGATCTCAATGTTGCCTCTCAGAGCTTCTACAGTGCTGAAGATCTTTTGCTTCGATTTCTTCTTTTTTTTCGGCACCTCGACGTTTTCCGCGTCTTCCTGCGCATTTTCTTCCTGATCCGAATTTTTCTCCATATTCACCATTACCTGTTTATCCAGTCCACCAACCATTTTGAGTATTTCCATATGTACGTTGTCCACACGATATCCATAGATCTTGGTGCTTACGTCTAAGGAGGTGCTAGCCACTAGTAAATTTGACATATTGACATCCTGTTTCTTTATCATATACGTCATAAAATCGATCATCTCCAAACTAAATGCGTTCTTGATATTGATCTTGTTCTCAGCATTCAGTTGTATGCATTTATTCATGCTCTCGGCCATTTGGGGTGCTGGAATATTCGCCAAAAATCCTAGGCCCAGAGATAATCTTTTGCCATTACTTTTTCCATTAGACGGTGATGTTGTAAATATTTCACGTCGACGAGCGATACGTTCTGCCTCATCGTCGTTTTCTGATAAATTAGGTACTGATGAAATTTGAACAATGGATTTTCTTCGCAACGGTGACGAAGAATTTGGTGAATTTTGTATAGATTCCAATCTCTTATGCATTATAGATTTGTGAGAATCCATTTTGTAAAAAACAAATTTTATAACTTTTATTTATAGATATACTGCTATAGTTTACACTTGTCCTTAAATACTCTCAGCCTCCTGAAACAAATAAGCGTACATCGGTTCAATTAGTACGATAAATTTTCTATGACATAAGAGAAGTAAATCACTTATATAATTCTATTATGTATTTCATTCGTAATACAGATTCTATATCACTTTTCAATTATTCTTAATGAAAATTATAGTCATAGAAAAGTATGAAGCATTATAAATTATATCGCAAACTGCTTGTATAAGCAATTTATAATCTAAAGGTTTTGAGAATTATATTATTCTTAAAAAAAAATTTTCTTAAAGAATTTTAAGATAATTAATGAGTTTACCTGAAATAAGTAAATGTGCAAGATTTATAAATCTGACTACTCCAATGAATTTATTAAAACAAATTTAAGGAGGATATTAGGAAGAATTGTAATTATAGTTATAGCATAAACAATTTAGATAAATGATAAATGAGTTTACTTTTAAAGTCTGTTAAAGATCTCCAATCAAACTAGAATCATAAAAGAAATAATTTGTATTGATTGAAAAGGTTATACATTCCGTTTATTAAGTTCTCAACAAATCACTTTATTATTAGTGCACAAAGATTGACGAAGTGCAGTAGAATTCTTGTAAGAATCAGTATTATTCTAAAGCTTGAAAAAAATCATTTTAGTCATAACGAGATCCTCGTTTCTCAAAAGTAGTAGTTGACGGGTTATGTCAATTGAGTGTACTTAACAATAGATATTAGCAGTATCTATACCCACCGATAAGGTAGTAAAATTCTTCGCTATTTTCTCGAGATCGGTCCTGATCAACCGCAACAGAATATAATAACGTTGCAGTTCATCGCGAATCTTCTGCAGAGCTTGCAACGTGCGCTCGTCGTGAGAAGGCATTGGACTTGACAGAAATATACGTGAAACACTCGAAGAACATCTTACGTTGAAATGTTAAACGCTCATTTCAATTCCACACCTCACATCCTACCGCTCAACATTTCACCTTAACTTGCGATCTTACGATTGGGAATTACTATCAATGGAAATTACTCTGGATAAACGAAAAAGTACGTTGCGTTTCTGTTGCGAGCGATGTCATATTTAAATTCACAGACACTGTCATGGACGATATTGGCGTTACCGCGCGTTCCTAAAAGCATCTTTACGTGGAGCATTAAGGTGCCATTGCATAAGAGCGTCAAGCCACATTATAATCATACCCAGTAGCGACAGTGAAGTGAACTTTTTTGTGATCTGCAACTTTTATTGCGCATGTGTCGGTTTATACATTTAGGAATATGGCGGACGTATTAGGAGCTTAACAGAAATTCAAATTTAAGTTATCCTATCATAGCTCTACTGTGTACACATCACAACATGGCGGTGAATCGTGTGACTTAAGAACACCTACATCAAAAGTGCCGACTGTCAGTGTCGCTACTGTGTATGATTATACTGTGGTCAAGCATCGAGCGTCGAGTATTGTGAGCTTACTATTCGCTAAAAACGGGTCACGTGATCAAAATCGACGAATCAAACTCACGACGCTCGACGATTGACGCAATTTGACGCTGCCATGTAAGGCCCACATCACATTAGCGATTGGAGATTACGTCTACATTCGCGTTTGCATTCCTTGACCAATCAAAATGAAGCTACTGATCAACAATTCCGATTGATTAAAAGAGCCCATTCAGCAGACACAACAATTGAGTAAGCGCTCGCTGCTATTGATGAATTCTTCTAGATCTAAAATTCCGATTGGACGAGCTAAAAGAATACATCAATACAGCGTGCTCACTCAACTGTGAGCTGAATGCGCTCAAAGATGCAACCGCAAATGCAAACACAATCTCCAGTTGCTAGTATGATATCGACAAAAGGACTATGGCACACAAAAAAAACTTAGTAAAGTGTCGAAAGTTTAAGATGCCTCATCAGAGTCTATCTAAAATTACAAATATCTGTATAATTTGGATAAAATATTAAAACTACGTGTATATATATGTGTGTGTGTATGTATGTATGTATATGTAATATATATATATATATATATATATATATATATATATATATATATACCTTAGTCATATCAAACAGTTGAGACTGCTGAACGCAACCATTGAGGCTACAGTTCACTTGATGCTTCGAAGCATTTTTTGATTGGTCAATTAGTAAAATTCTTTCTTTCGATTGATCAATCAAAAACTTCAAAGCGTTTGTAACGCCAAGTGGACCACAATGTGATCGTTCGGATCTATAATAACGTATTCCCCAGCAAACGAGAATGAATTAAAATGGATTGAAATTTTTTTCTATCCGAATGCGTTTTAAATAGCGAATACTTTTTTTGGATTTAGTTGGATTCAATTAGATTCAATTAGATTCAATTGGATGCAATTGGACTGAAAAATTGCATTTCCTATTTAAAATTTTGAATTGAACAGTATTCGCAATGCACAGAAAAAGCTAATATTATTTTTAGATTGAAAGGCATAGAGATATGCTCCATGCAATTCCTTTAAATGAATAAAAATTCAGGATTGAAAAGCATTCATTTTAATATTCGTGAATCAATATTTCTGAAAATCTGAATCCATTTCAATTCATTTCAATCCATTCTCGTTTGCTGGGTCGATTCGAGCGGATTCGCACCAACCTAAGTTGAACGCCTACCTAAATGACGTTGTGTGCTCTCCTATTAGTGAAATATAACGTCAACCAATAGTAAAACATTATCGAATCTAAATGGGAGCAAATTCACTCGGATAAAATGTTATAAATAACAATCAATCATGTTCATTTACTCGACGAGCAGGCTAGCTGCTTTGTCGATTTTAACGCACCCATTAATTTGCTGCTCGCTGTTAATTGACGCTTCTAATTTGAACGCACTCTTAAATCTGTTCTGTCTTAATACAGTTATAATTGAAAAGCTCGAGTGTAACATGTGAAAATTGCGAGGACAATCTTATCAGAAAGAAGAGAAAAGAAAAACTTTTATCATGTACTATAAATGAAAAACCCTATGATATATTGATTTTTATACTTAAGAATTAAAGGCAAAAAGATCTAATTATATTAAAGAGATATGTATTTGTATATTTAATTTATTATTTGTATTATACATGTATAATACAATATGTTATAGATAAAAGTACAATAAACATAAGCATTATAAGTAGTAAACTAAAGAAGTATATCAATTCGTATGATATATTTTTATGCGCTTAAATAAAAGGTTTATTATTATGACGAATTGTATCAAATTAAAAATATTAATTTTTAATACTGAGGCACAGATGCAATCTGTTCGAGAGCTTGTTCCATTTCATTGTCTGGTTGAATAGATAAGACCTTATATAAGGTGCGCGAAAAGACAGATGTCGGTCCGAGAATATATAGACGAACGTCACATTTTTCTAACAAATATAGCCATTTTAATTCGCTGCGCTTTTCTACTGTCATTGTCTGCAATAATTATATACTTTTTAAATATGAAAAATGGAATTTCAAGAATTTGTATTTTTTGTAAGTTCACAATTCTATAAGAGAGAAAAAATCGAGAGAGAGAGAGAGAGAGAGAGAGAGAATTGTTGATATGAGTACCTGAAATTCATCAACTGTGTAGCCCAAGACACGCTCCGCGATGTCATCGGTTAAACGACATCCGATAAGATATCCGGTGTCGTCTTTCAAATTTATTTTTACATTAAACTTTACAGTATTTAATGGTGTTCGCATTCCATTGCCAGACGGACAATTTAAATTCATACAGGAATCTTGCACGTCTGCGATAGACTTTTTACATAGAGCACTAAAAATGAAAGTAAAAAATAACAGCACAATTAATTTTTTAATTTATATAGATAATATAACATGAAAATAAAGATAAAGTACCATTTTATAGATATCACATCTTTGAGTGGACCGTCCAAATTCATTTCGGTTACCGAAGCCCTTACGATCGTTGCGAATTGCAATCTTTCACCCTCCGCAGTCGCTTTATTCTTTTGTAATTTCTCTGTGATTTGTTGTACCGTCATTACAGTCGTAATAGTCTCCGCTGTTAATACAAAAATTAATAATAATAATAATAAAATTTTTATTATACGCACAAAAAAAAACTTTTCTCGTCAAATTTGACCTCCATAAAATATAGGATCAAAGACATACTTATTTTTTTACCATTATTGTTTATATTATTTGAAACATTTTTTAAGCAAATTGTATTCTTACGATTTGGTATGGCGAACGGATCGCTGCATATGGAATCAGGATCATAATGCTGCACCGCATTCATAATATCTGCAGCTTGGGGTATGTTCAGACACTCCGTGATCAACGTTCGTCTTGCTACGTGAAATAAAAACGATTTACGAATGTAATAACAGTTCTTTCCATTGTTGTTTAATGCCGCTTATGTAACATATGGCGAAACTACCCAAAGGATTAAATTGATAAACGTATACCGTTTCATCAACTGTTGCTTAAGCAATTTAAAAGAGAATGGTTTTATATTCTGAAGAATCTTTTTAAAGACACCGATACACAATAATTTATTATAACGATATATCCGAATATTGAATTTTATAGATATATTCAGAGATTTTCTCTCGAAGGTTTTTTACTAGATATACTATCAATGATATAGTTTTCAGACATTCTAACAATTAATTCTTATAGTTAAAATTTATTGACGATACATTAGTTGGCGATATATTAAAATACTGTAACAATAAATTATACTAAGTCAAAATCAGATCTTTAACGTACAGATACTTAACGTCATTTTCTTCTTATACTCGTCATATGCAATGCGAGCATCGATCAAGAATAATATTGTCTTCTTCGGTTCCCAAGAGGCAGATCTCTCAATCCAGTCATTATCCCACAACATCAATGACACGGTATTATCCGTCGATCCATCTGCGACTTCGAAATTGCGACACGTTAAGGATCGTCCATTCCGTGTCATTATATTACGAGCATCAGCAATCTGCGGCACAATAATTAAAAATTATTGTTGATGTTTACAATAAGCATCAAAGTAATAGTTTTGAAGAAGTTGATGACTTTAAAGAATTATAGTCAACTTCCTCTAAACAATTGTAATGAGACAGTCAGTGAGAATATTCAGAAATTAAAAAACAATCAAATTATAGATAATAATTTTCAATTAAATAAATAATCTATATTCTCAATCTTACATATTCACGCACACACACGCACGCACGCACGCACGCACGCACACATATTATATAGCCATGAAAAACGGTGTGATTATTATATATAGACTCGAAGCGTTTTATTTGTTGCAACTTACAAACGTAACAACGACCAGAAGATCAACGAAGCGATCACACAGAGCGTCTATATTATCCAGAATAGTTTTTAGGCTTTTCGCGGAGGTCACATTTTTCACAGGTCGCGTTAACAGATCTTTGTATTGTTCGCGAGTTGGCGCGTCGTGATTCTGTATTAAGGCTATACCCTCATTTATGATCAAGGTAAAAGGGCTGGAGGTCGATGGCATGAATTGTTCGTTCTTATCATTGAGATTGCGTTTCACGATTTTTGCGCTTATCACTTCCACTGTAAAGCAAACTCTTATTAATATATGTGACCTTATTAATATATGTGGCGTATGAACGCGGCGCAGTTCTCGGACAAGACAAAAGCTTAGCTGTACGTACGTTGCATATAATTTCCAAAAATCTGAAAGTGTTAATGATTCTATTCTGTAATGATTATAACTACCTATATCGGTTCAGTGGTTAAAAGTTACAGAATATTCTGAGATTTATCGCAAATATTTAAATGCAGAAATTTGTTATTTTTTCTACGCTTTATTCGCACAAATAGATATTGAAACCGTTTATATTTAGAGCAATAGCGAAAAAAATGTATTGTATTAAATATAAATTATAGAAAGAGAATATATTGAATACATATACAATAAAAGAAAATTACGTACATACACTTTAATACGTAGTAATTTTTTAAATAATAATTTAAAAATAATAATAATTGTTAAATATATCTGATTAAATATTGATTTCCTATATAATAGTGATCTTTTAATGTGAGAGGGACGTTTAATCATTAGATATTATTGACTACAAAGTGAACCATTTGTTCTTTATAGTTTATGGACAATTTATTCATAAAATATTCACCTACGGATCCGATGATAAATGTGGACGATAATTTTTTTACATATTCCGTGCTGCCCCATACAGTGACGTTAATAAAGTCATCCTCGGAGTCGCGCAAAGTGAATGTCCATACGCCACGTTCGCCAGTATTAACTGTAATATAATTATCAGTAAGATTATAAGCAAAATAAATTAAACATAAAGGCAATTCAGCCGATTTGTCTAACAGATTCTCAAATCTAGGGCGACGCATTTAATGGAAAATTATATACATGCATTCTCACATGCATAACGCTTTTCATTAATGTGTAATTCAGATTGAAAGCTTTTTTATAAAAAAAATATATTTCTGCGAATCGACTCGTGTTTGTTTTCAAATCGATCGCGTTTTTAATTTATTGTTTTAAATACAAGTATATTGCAATAAGATGAAGAAGAAAAGAACAGCAGAGATACGTACATCTGGCACGAGATACGACAAACGTTTTCATATTCGTGCTGTTTATAATCACACCGATTATGAAGGTGTTCGGCGAGCCATCCTGCAGCGATCTTATCTCCTGCCTGTATAAAAAGGACATTTTATTCGATGATTAACGCGACGTGTCGTCAATTCAAATTAACGTAAATCAAAGTAGAAAACAGAAGCGAATCATTTGCGTTCGTGCACGCGTGCAGTTTGAAGTGCGCGAATGTCAATCATACCACGATTGCGGTCGAATCTCGTCACACTAAATTTTTGCTAAATTCAGAGCGCACATCGACGTCCAATAAAAAAAATGTTGATTTTTCGAAGACGGAATATGTGTTTCTAATATGATTATTATTTCTATCTATAATGTAATAAAAATAGATTAATTTTTATCTCGGTTTTTAATTTAGCCTTTGTCTCGAAATAAGAACAGATACGAGTACCGGCTACAATCTGATATTATATAATAAGATCATCTCTTCGATAGAGTACGATTTCAAGTTGTTACACGATTATTTTATCGGCGCGTAATCCGTGGTGCCGCAGCTCTTTTGTAAGAACGGCATTTAATCTGATTTTATACTAATTTAAGAAATTATTTTAAATCAAATTCAATTGAATTAATGTGATATAAATAATAATAAAATCTTTCAGTCGTTTAGGGCCATTTCAAAATCTTAAACTGGATTATTTAAATTCATTCAATAAATTTAAGTTGCAATAATTTTTTGTAAATTTAAAATCGGAACACGCCGTTTCTAAAAGTAGCACCACGGACTACACGCCGAATCTGATTGAAACTAATTGAATCTGAACGATATTTGTTCCGACCAATCGGAACAAAGAACTCTTCTGCCGCTCTATTCAACACGTTCCTAATTGGTCACGCTCCAATTTTTAAAGCGTCGCCGATTTTCAAATGTCGCACCAGATCAGCCTTAAAGTCCGTGGCTGGGGTTGGCGTCCCTGACAGCGATGATATACGCAACGCAACGGAACGCAACGACAACGCAACGGCCAACTGTGGCCAACGCAGTACGCATTGACACGCAACACGACACGACGTTCTCGCTTCCTCATCCGTGATCCGCGCGCGCGGTGTCTAGTGCAGTCTAGTGCAGTCTAGTGCAGTCTAGTGCAGTCTAGTGCAGTCTAGTGCAGTCTAGTGCAGTCTAGTGCAGTCTAGTGCAGTCTAGTGCAGTCTAGTGCAGTCTAGTGCAGTCTAGTGCAGTCTAGTGCAGTCTAGTGCAGTCTAGTGCAGTCTAGTGCAGTCTAGTGCAGTCTAGTGCAGTCTAGTGCAGTCTAGTGCAGTCTAGTGCAGTCTAGTGCAGTCTAGTGCAGTCTAGTGCAGTCTAGTGCAGTCTAGTGCAGTCTAGTGCAGTCTAGTGCAGTCTAGTGCAGTCTAGTGCAGTCTAGTGCAGTCTAGTGCAGTCTAGTGCAGTCTAGTGCAGTCTAGTGCAGTCTAGTGCAGTCTAGTGCAGTCTAGTGCAGTCTAGTGCAGTCTAGTGCAGTCTAGTGCAGTCTAGTGCAGTCTAGTGCAGTCTAGTGCAGTCTAGTGCAGTCTAGTGCAGTCTAGTGCAGTCTAGTGCAGTCTAGTGCAGTCTAGTGCAGTCTAGTGCAGTCTAGTGCAGTCTAGTGCAGTCTAGTGCAGTCTAGTGCAGTCTAGTGCAGTCTAGTGCAGTCTAGTGCAGTCTAGTGCAGTCTAGTGCAGTCTAGTGCAGTCTAGTGCAGTCTAGTGCAGTCTAGTGCAGTCTAGTGCAGTCTAGTGCAGTCTAGTGCAGTCTAGTGCAGTCTAGTGCAGTCTAGTGCAGTCTAGTGCAGTCTAGTGCAGTCTAGTGCAGTCTAGTGCAGTCTAGTGCAGTCTAGTGCAGTCTAGTGCAGTCTAGTGCAGTCTAGTGCAGTCTAGTGCAGTCTAGTGCAGTCTAGTGCAGTCTAGTGCAGTCTAGTGCAGTCTAGTGCAGTCTAGTGCAGTCTAGTGCAGTCTAGTGCAGTCTAGTGCAGTCTAGTGCAGTCTAGTGCAGTCTAGTGCAGTCTAGTGCAGTCTAGTGCAGTCTAGTGCAGTCTAGTGCAGTCTAGTGCAGTCTAGTGCAGTCCAGTGACGTCGTGAGGGACGAAGGGGGTGGAAGGGAAGACGTGGTGGTGAGATCAGGTGAAATCTATTCACTATTGAGTTGATGAATCTGGACGCTTGAGTGGGTTTCGCATTCGGGGAAAAAACAATCGGGCCGACATAATCGTCGATCACCATCGAGATGGCTGATAACGAACAGAAGGCCTTACAACTGATGGCGGAGGCCGAAAGGAAGCTGTCGTCGTCGAAGGGCTTCTTCGGCGCTCTGTTTGGGTGAGACGATCGATTTGCTACTTGAACTCGCCCGATCGTACATACATCGTAAGCGCACGAACCTCTTCGCAGTTCGCGTACTCCTGCGCGATCCTGCGTTAATTTCATCCTCCGGCTCGCGTCACTCCCGTGCCGCACGACGTCCTCGACGCTCGATTGCCGTGTTATTACGACTCCGTCGTCTTTTCTGCGTCGTAATAACGATGATGCGGACGACCTTCCGTGTGTGCGTACGCCGCATGTGGATATGTGTCAATACATGGCATCTGTGCTTACTATCGGCTATCTTTTCACTAATAAAGCCATAGTGTAACACAATGAATTATTACTTCTTTTTTGCCAATATTAAACAAAGATGAAATGATTCGTATCTCGTGTCTTTTGTCGGGAAGCACCATTGCCATTTGGTATACGTAATTGGATTTCTCAGCATCACCAGATCATCTATGGTGTTATGCTGGAAATCGCAATGTCTTTGCAATATCCTTGCATTGACGTCTCTTGCATTTCGATAGACCGATATCACTTTGTTGAAGGATGGCAAAGTCCATATGGTCAGTATCATTGTACTTTAGGTTGATAAGTTTGACTTTGCAGGAGTTCGTCGAAAGTTGAGGAAGCAGTAGAATGTTACCAACGGGCAGCGAACATGTTCAAGATGGCAAAGAAGTGGAGTTCAGCAGGCAAGGCGTTTTACGATGCAGCAGATTTACATTCGAAGGCGGGTAGCCGTCATGACGCGGCTAATAATTACGTAGACGCTGCCAATTGCTTCAAAAAGTCCGATACAAACGGTAATTTATAAGACCAAGACAAACAAATGACACAGTATAACACAAAGTCTGTTATTTGTCACTGCACTAGACTGCGCTATAATTTTCTATAGTTTCTGTCTCACTTTTCATCAAACTTTTTAAAAATATATATCTATTTCATTTTAAGTGCATACTAGTTTAGCCACAGAGAACAGAACCATTATATTCTTGTTGGTTGCCATTGTTAAACAAATGGCAAATTCGGTTACTTGCGCTATATTAGGGCTGTGTTCCACTTAACGCTCGCAACGCTCGTGAACATTGTTCTTGTTTAATATTTGATAAACAACAAGATGAAATGATTCCCACAAGCATTGTGAGCATTAAAAGCGGCTAGGACTGAAATTTGCAAAGTAAATGTTTTAGCATATATGAATATTTTTAACGATGAAATGCCCAAAACAAATATTATGTATTATTTAATAAAATACATATATTATTTTATTGTCAAAATTAGTTATATTATTCGCCACATTTAAACACTTTACATGAAGCAATCTTTTCAATAAAGTGTACTGATTTAGTGCGAGCGACTGAATTTGTCAAGATGACAAATAATTTATGTATCATTGTTATTCTATCTTTACAGAGGCAATCAGTTGCCTGTTGAAAGCTATCGAGATTTATACCGACATGGGTCGTTTTACGATGGCAGCTAAACATCATCAAAGTATAGCCGAAATCTACGAAAGCGAAGCGGTTGATTTGGAGCGCGCGGTACATCATTACGAGCAAGCTGCGGATTATTTCCGCGGTGAGGAAAGTAACTCCTCTGCAAACAAGTGTCTTTTAAAAGTCGCGCAGTACGCCGCGCAACTTGAGAATTATGATAAAGCCATTCAGATCTACGAGCAGGTAAAGATTGAAGATATATTCCGTGCATATGGCGATAGCGAGTTATAATTTTTCTATAATTTTTTTTTAATTTGAATGTAAATGATTAATGTGAATATGAATGTTTAAATCCTTATCAATTTATTTTACAGGTCGCTTCTGCATCATTAGAAAGTTCTTTACTAAAATATAGCGCCAAGGAATACTTCTTTCGTGCTGCGTTATGTCACTTGTGCGTGGATTCGTTAAATGCTCAACATGCGATTGAGCGTTATCAGGAACAATATCCTGCTTTTCAAGACGCTAGAGAATGTAAACTGGTAAAGGTATGTTTTTATGCCAAATTTGTCACCTGACTTTTTTTTTTATTTTTTTTTAGTATACTTTGTGATAATTTGAATATTGTACATCTATAGACATTGATAGAGCATTTGGAGGATCAAAATCTAGAAGGTTACACAGAAGCAGTGAAGGAATACGATTCAATTTCAAGATTGGATCAGTGGTATACAACAGTATTGTTACGTATAAAAAAGCAAATTAATGATAATCCGGATCTGCGCTGATCAGTTGTTTCTTACTTGTGTTATTTTTTGGTAACGATATTATTTTCAGACCATGCGTATTCGTTACTGAGCCACGCTCTACTTTCAGTGGAAACTATAAAGTAGTTTCGTTTTTATATCCGGATATGTAATCGCCCATATTATATTGCTCCCTCGTGCTTTCAATAATTTTTGTTATTTATCTCTTTGTATCTTTTAAATTATTAAGAGTATCCATGAAATTATGGAGAATCACGGTATGCAAGAATGTGAGAGACGATTATTTCGAACGTCGTAATTCTCGTGATTATGTTTTTATTAATGAAATATATATACAGCTTTACCTTGTTAGGTACATTGGCGAGTATTATATATCAAGAATGTTGTGGTTTTTGTTATAAAATAATAGCCTAGAAAATCTTTACTTCTCTTGTGCAATTTATACATCTTGTTTTCTTTAAAAAAAAATCGATATTCTTACTATGAATTGCAACATTATTACAGACTTTGGGTTTAAAAGCCTAACAGAATAACAGACTACAAAGAACATACTGGATTGATAAATTTCTTATTTATTCTTTCCTGCCCATCATAATTTTAACAAATGTTTTTGTCCAATTATATTTTCCTCTCTAATTTAAGAGCAGGAGGAGCAAGTCTTGTAGTACATTATTTGAATGTATGTAATCTGTATGTATTGAAGAATCTTTTTTTGTTTCTTTAAAATTTAATACGATTTCACTTTTTTTGATTTTTTTTTTTTCGATATTTTACAGCGAAGAAATTACGAACAAATATGACCGTCATCATTTGTCACTCTTGCACTGCCAAAGTATTTAGATAACAAGATAGTGTACGTCTAATTGGTATAATTCATCATTTTCTCTTAGTTCTCTCCTGCCTCTGGCCTTTTCTGTCTTGCGTTTGTCTGATTCAGAAATACGATTGCTACTTGTATAGGTTTACAGTTTTAAGTCGAGCGATACTATTAACGTAACATGCTACATATTCCTTCCTAATATCGAACTAAAGAAACACATCGATATATTACACAATGTTTTCCGCAATAATAGTAGTGTGGTATCTGTAATCTAATTAGTACTTATTGCCTACGGATAAGCGTACTCTTATAAGAAAAAAGAAAAAAATAAGAGGATAGGGAACATGATCGCGAAGTGCATTTAAAGTTAGAATACCATAATTATTGATTGTATTAGAATTTGAGTGCATCTTTCTACATTCTTTTCATGTTACTTGATGTTACCGCAATTCGTTTCTGTGATGTATTGGTTTACAATCGGTACAATTGATAATTTTACGGTACGTTATCACGAATGTCGCTTTATTTCACTTCGACATTTATAGGAAATGTAGTACATTAATGTTAATATTGCAAAAATCTTGGATATATTATTGGTTTAACAGCTCTGAGGTAGATACGCCTAAGCATAGGATTTATGATTTAGCGGACACTTGGACATTGATTTAATAACGATCGCATTAAGAATCTTCGCATTTTATATAAGAGCATCGTATATAATATAATATATATATTGATATACGATATTTCAATGACACGATACAATTCTGCTGTTAACTAGGAAATAGAAAGAATTATCTGCATGCACGCGATTAACGGAACATGCACTTAGCGTAAGCATATGTATACTTATTTGAAAAAGAGGAAGAAATGAGGACACACGTAATAAAACTTTTAAACTCTACACATCTAGTGTGCATTGCTTTCCGGAAGAAACGCGGTGGAAGCCAGGCGATATATTCGGGAGTTTTTGTTCAATTCTAATGTGAAAACCTACGTGATGGAAGGAGATGATTTGTTTTATTTATGACGTTTTGCAACGTTGCTCGCACTATCATGTTTATTGCCATAATCTACCTTGTCTAATTTACAGCTATTAATGCAATTTACATTCCATCTTTTGCCTATAACGTCGCATGTTGCTTAGCCAAGGTTTAAACGGCGATGCACATTAATTATTTTATGTTTTTTCTTGTAATCTTGCGCGAAGCGAGCCTGTAAATAACAAAGATCGCGTCGACGACATAGTTTGCATCTATGTTGTTATTTTCTGTACAGTTAATTTAATAATATTATACGCTACCATACGTATCTTTAGGAAGGCATCGTACATTTATTTATAGTCTGCTTCTTTGGAATAACACGAGTCAATGTGTAACCAAAAAGTTAAAATGCCATGGTTTATTTTGTGCAAATGTAATTATGCTTGATTTACATTGATTTTTATGCATCAATAGATCAATGAATTTATAGACAGGATTACATTATATATATATATGTTTTATATATTTTACTGTACGTTATAAAATGTTCATCTCTCTTGTTACTTGTATTTATATATTGGAATGTATTGTTAAAATTTTTTTTTGTCTAATTCTAGTTAAATAGGGTGATATCGCATACGCAAACGGAGTTTGTATAATTTGTAACTATAAAGTATTGTCACATTTTTGTGTTTATTTTTTTATCTGAAACGTTAATTTATTTACTTGTACGTAAATACATATACATATATATCTTTGAATTTTTCATTTGTATTTACTTATTACATAAACGAATAAGTTAAATTTTAATTATAATACTTGAATGTATAAGCAGCTGATGCTAGTGTTTAGTATACATTCTACTAAGAAATAAAGTATATACATAGCGACTAAATTTTGCCCAAGATAACATATTTATAAATCTCCATAGAATTATTGTTAGAAAATAATACACCTAATGATTATTACTTCCATAGAAAGAAAAAAAATATGCTATCGCGCAAAGAAAATATCACATTTATACGATATTCTGGAGATATTAAGACAGTCGATTTTAATTTTAAAATATTCTGAAATAGTTAAATGTATCGTATTAGATTTATAATGACGGTAATTTTCAAATAAATATAGTATAAATATCTAATTTATTTGTACAAATTTTATTAGAAAATTTTATATCGAAATGTTTATTTCTTTTTATAATTATTTAACAAAATAGTAATGGCGAGAAATAAAACATTTTATTAGATTATCTTACTGTCAATGCTTATATCATTTACAAACTTATAAAATAGATACAAAAGAGTGATTTATTCCAATGGCACATGTGCATTAAATTAAATTATGCGCGAGAATTTAAATTTAAATTTTTTTCGATGAGGTTTGAAACAATAAAGAATAATTACTTATAATTAATATAAGAATAATTACGACAGAGAAATCAGGTCAAGTTTTTTAAATGAGTTTTGGAACTGAAAGAGCAAACATTTTCGAATTTTAGGTCGGTATTTATAAGTCGATTTTTATATTAGGTCTGTTCGCATTATTTGCACTTTTTGTATCTATGCTACTTAGCACCTTCGTTTTTACTTTCTTCAATATCCAAATATATATTTATCTCTAAGTTTAAAATTTTTGGGGATTTCAATCAACGCGAACAGATCTATTTAAAGGCCATCACGCGTACAAAAATTTTAGTTGTATAGTAAGAGATCGTAAAGTCTAGCAAATCGATTTAATAATCAAAATTGCGATCTCAAGTTTTAAAACGCTCGACTGTGACTACATTAAAGCCCAAGAAACAATGCGAGAGAATAGCGATAGCGAAAGGAATAACACGATTTCAACCTATCAGAAATCGGATATATCGGAATACACAGTTTCTGATAGGTTGAAATCGTGTTATTTCTATCGCTATCACTATTCCCTCGCATTGTGTCTTGGGCTTTACACGGTACCCTTAATCGGGTTTAATAACATCCGTAGTTATGAAATTGACCAATAGCTGTTCCTCGAAAGAATGAAACGATTGTGATTGGCCAATTTCATAACTACGAATGTTATTAAACCTCGAGATCCTATAATTAGAATTTGGCGAATATGGATCAAAAATAACGAATAAAAAGATATAACAGAAATTGCTTTCTTAATGCTTTTCCTAAATTCAGGACAAATTTTTGCGCATGCGTTTATATAAAACCGGTTCTACGTTAGTTGCCGATCGCAACTTTGTTGCAACAGCCGATATGAAGCGTTAATTTCAAAATGCAAGCTTCAGATTGGCTGTCGCAACAAACTTGCGACCGATTTGCAACTAATATAGAACCGGTTTTATATAAACGCATGCGCAAAAATTTGTCCTGAATTTAGGATAAGCATTTGATTGGTTATTGTGATTTTTAGGACAAATACTTGATTGGTTGTCGTAATTTAGTCCTAAATCGATATTTGATTTATATAATCGTGCTATATGTAACACGATTATATAAACCACCGACGAGATTCTATTAAAGACCGACATTTTTACGAGAGTTCGCGTCCTTGCGAATATTGAAGTAATTAAGAGTTAAAAACTGATAATATTGTACTAATTTTATGATTTATTAGTTTAGTAGACGTATTTATGCATTTAGAACTCAATAATACTCGATTTTTCTTTAAAATTATGATTTTAGTGTTATCGTCAAAGTTTTATTATCAACAAAGATGATAACTGCAGAGAAAAAAATTGTAATTTTTCTGCAATATATAAGATATTATAGCTTTACAAGTATGCATATTTATTTATGGAACATTCATGTAATAAAAAATCATAAATTTAGTAATGTATGAGCCAAATATTTATGTTAAACAAACTTATATCAATTGTCGATAATGTCAGCGTTTTTCAATTACCTCCTTAGGGTCCTTTTTATACTGTCGAAAATTTGCCCAGGGTTGACGGTCTTTAATAGTATCTTGTCGGTGTATAAATCAAGTTGATTTATCATCTTCAACCTTGAAAAGTGGACGTATGTAGTTTACATTCACTTTGTCAGAGGGCAGTAGTGCGCGGCAATAATTTGCAGTTACAAGTTTTGAACCGTCATTGTCCTCTCTTAGGTTTTTCTCTGCAATAGTACTGAATACGCCCATTGTACCAATAATTACGAACATGTAGTTCACAGCTGTTTCCGAGAGAGGTCTCCATTGAAAATTCAAATGTGTTCAAGTTAAAATGCGAGGGAACCATGTCAGTTACAACCGTTATTAAGATGCCTGGACCAGTATGGTATCGTGAAGTGTATATTATTAGGTCTGTTTTCTGTGGTTGAATCAGTGTACACTTTTGGAACTTAAAGTGAAATAGTATATATTTGATACTTATCGAAAGCAAGAAAGAGATTCTCGTGCAGTCTAGTGCAGGAACAGAAAACAAACCATTTGTTAAAGTTTACTTGAACAAGTTGAACCCTTATTGGCGTCTCCCAACGCTTATTGTATTTTAAGACTGTACACCGACGTTATATATTTATATTTAATATAAGTGAATAGTAGGTATGTTACTAAGAATCCTCCGAGAAGAATTTTGGACATCTGATAAATGCCTGAAGAAATTTCTAATTCTATTATTTTCTTTTTTAATAACAATATATTTTTACTTGGATACCGTAAATGTAGATGACCTGGAACAGTGTAAGTAATTTAGGACAGCGTGTACTTTTATTAAATTTAATTATGGGTAGATACCATGATTAAATTTAACAAAAATTCATGCTGTCCCAAGTTCCCTGCACTGTCCCAAGTCACATTTATAGTACTTTTTAAGTTTAATATATTTTTCTTTATAATTTTATAAAAATATGTCATATGTGAATGCTATTTAGTGATTTCACATATTTAAGTGAAATAATTTAGATTTCCTTTTATTAAGATATAAACAAACTTGTGATCACTTTGTATTTGATTATTATCTATATAAAAAAGAAAATGTCATGTTAATGATTTTTTTTATTGTATTCACAATGAGTATTTTTATAAATTATAAGAAATACAGCAATTTATATATGTCTTGTATAACATTTTTTCTAGTGATATTGTACAGTAAACATATCGTTGGTTCTATATCAATTCCATTGTCATTTCTCATTG